AAGGCAGTGGTTAGATCCAGTGACAGGACCCAAAGAGTTGTGAGTTCAATACCTGGTTAAGGCAGTGGAGAACTTTGAGAGGGGAATTAACAGGAGATAACTGATAACTGACATCCATTAGACATGGCATGTGGAACTACAACAGTCTACCCCAGTGAGCGAAATAAAGAGTTCAGTTCAACATTCCAATCACCTGAAGAAGGCCGGAGCGTACAACAGCCAAAATGTAATAAATATGGCGAGAAAGATGAGGAAAATAGTCCAAATAATGTAAATAATGTATTTAAATTTCAGTATTAAATAACCCACAGAGGTTGTTATGCCACTAAACAACTAACCTATCTCCCCTCGAGTGGCTCTTGTGCCATGTAAAGCATGAACATTATTGCAAACAAAACCTAATCTACAGGTCTAAGAATATACATTGCACCACGTTTGTCCATATAGCAACATGACTGATATGTCACATGCAACTTATGTTGAAATGATCAGATTCTATTCCCTCTTAAATGGGGGTACATGATCAGATTCTATTCCCTCTTAAATGGGAGTACATGATCAGATTCTATTCCCTCTTAAATGGGAGTACATGATCAGATTCTATTCCTTCTTAAATGGGAGTACATGATCAGATTCTATTCCCTCTTAAATGGGAGTACATGATTACAACTCTAATGGAACAGAAGGAGTACATGTGTCTCAGTGGTGTGATACCCACTTTCACTTATTACTTTCATTACATAGAACCTTATGGCAGCATGCATCAGTGCCTAAAGCTCAGTCACAGATTGTGCACTGGTATCAGTGTTACAATATTACAAGATGACTAAAGACTTCGAAAATTTTATCTCAATACCTACCATCCACCTAGTATGCACGTAATGTAACCAGATCAAAAGTGGCATGGTTATTCGAGGTGTTGTAATTTGGTCTCTTTTAAATTACATGCCTGTACATGAATTGAGTATATGATGAAAATCTTTACTAAAACTCTAAGGAAAATAGTAGGTTACTCAGATTGACATACCCCAGATGAAGGCCACTGGGTACAATGGTTGAAACATTGTGATAACAACAACAAAGATTAGGAAAAGAGTCCACATATAATTAATGTAAATAATAACTACCCCCATCCTTGAAAACACCAGAAAGCAGAAACTGCTCAAAAGTTTGTTACTTTCGCTGTTTGCCTTCATGTACAAAATGACTTATGGTCATATCACTGGTTCTCATTTGACCACCAATGTTAAGCAACATTGAGTCTGGTCAGTATCTAGATGGGTTATCGCTTGGGAATAACAGGTACTGTAAGCTTGAATGTGCATGTGGTGTATTGGATAACAGCTTGGAATTGGAAATCAGAGAGCCAAGTTCCAATTCCAGTCAGGTTTGTTATATTCACTTACACACAAATAGCCTTGGGAAAGGTATGAATCCACCTCTTCTCCCCTAACTATGGGTTAATTAGTAGGGCTTGTATCAGTAAATCAGTATTATCTCCAAAACAAAAAATTCTTATAATCTGAAATATATTCTGGCTTTAAATAACTGACAGAAAGGTGATAAACTGTAAAAAACAAATTAATTTAAGAAACAGAAACTTCACTGTAAGCTCTGTCAGAGAAAGCAGATGTTTTTTATGAAGATAAAAATGGAATATCCATAGTTTAATTAGTATGTGCAGATGAGTGCAAATCTAGACTGACTTATTAGTTGATGTCTAATTTCTTAGGGAAAAAAAAAATCAGTTTTTTTTCTCTTTATATTTGAACTTTTAAATGTTTCCCCAATTTAAGTTAATCTCTGATCTATATCTGCAAATCCTGCTTTTATTTGTGGTCCATACATTTGATCAGATTATTCAAACTCAACATTTCACATAAAAAGAAACACATCTTTTGTAGACATTTTTTCTTCGTCATCTATGTTTGGTGTTTGCGGTGGGGTCTTCACCTGCTTTTTCAGCGTCAAAGAAAGGAAACACCTCATCTAAGTCCCATTGAGCGGGACATTATTTATCCGGTACAGATTTTAACAATATCCCTAACTAGGTGAAAGAAATAAAAAATAAAACAATATTGTTTATTTATTTTTAAAATCTTAACTCTCTCCAAAAATCTTCATGAAAAATAAGAAAAAAAAAAGTCTCATTCAGATCGAGGAATCATTTGCAGCAAATAATGACTATAATATGTCGTTTATAGAGTCTTTTTGAAGAAGCGTTTTGGTAAAAAAGACCCCAAAACTTAGTGCCAGAAGGTAAATTGTACACAGTCAATGGGTGTGATGTCCAGGATGGGGTTAGCAGTAATTCAGCTTCTTGGCTCTGAAGATGGTGAGGGAGTCTAGTTGGGTGGGGATATAAAGTTTTAACTCATTTTGGCAATATCCTTACTGGTTGGGACACTTACATTTTTTCTTTTTTTAATGTTTTTTTTTTCTTTTTTTTGTTGTGTCAGGCCAATAATGTTCCATTCAGTTCAGCCATAAGGATTAAGGGAGGGTAAAGGGGAGTTAGTGTGAATGAGAAGAAAAAGATTGCAAGTAAAGGAAAAAGAAAAGAAAGACAGAGTAAAAATGATAGAGGGAATGGGTGTAAGGAAAGAGGTGTGGAATAAATGAAGGAGAGAGGAAGAGTGAATAAAGCAAAATAGTTACAGCAGAACAACAAAGAAGTGGAGAAAGAAAAGGAAGGTAACAATAGGTGAGAAAGAGAGAAGGAGAGAATTACAAAATGTCAGATCAAAAAAAAAAAAAAAAAAGAGGAAAGAAAAGAGATGAAAGGGTAAAAGAGAGAAATAAAAGACAGCTTCACTAAATTTGTATGAAACAGAAAAATAAGGAAAAAAAAACAAATGGAGATAACTAATAAGGAAGAAGAAAAGTTTCTATAACAAACATTGCTGCTAAATATGGCTCTTGGAATTCTGTCCTTGCTCGAGTTGCTTTGGGAGGTGAGGAAAAGTATTGGTGTTAGAGTGGGGAGTTTCTTATTGGAGGTGATAACCCCAGGCTGTGTCCTCAGTGTTTTCCTTTCATGAATTTCTTCAGTCTTTTATGGATTTTTTTAATAGATGTATGTATGTATGTATGCGTGTGTGTTTTAAATTTTATTTGAAATCTGGGAATTTGATTTTCGATTAAAGGTTTTACAATTTATTTGTGTGTGTTAAAAAACATAACTTACCATATGCTTACTGGATGTTAAAACATTTTGAACATGAAAGCCTAGTTATATCTGTGGATATAAATTATATATTTGATATTTTCATATTGTTGTGTTTACAGATCATTTAGAAATTTACTATGTAATATACAGTGGATTTATGTATGTAGATATGTATGTGCATCTGTCTTATATATATATATATATATATATACACACACACACACACACTGTGTGCATGCATGCATGCATGCACAATAAGTCTATAACTTGAACACATAGTTAATAACTGAAATTCAATCTGAAATTATCACAACATAATATTCAGTCTGTGGGATTAATCTTCACAAAAAAAGTAAATTGATTAATAAGGAAGGAGATTATGTTGAAAAAATATTCATTGGATAAAATGTGATTTTTTTTCACCATTAAGCTGTAGTTACACTTTTGTATCTACATGCATGCATAGCAATATATATATATATATATATATATATTTAATATTTTATATATATGTAGTAACACACACACACATATACACACACACATATATATATATATATATGTAGTAATGTTTTCATATATATATATATATATAATAATGTTTTATATATATATATATATATATATATATATATATATATATATATATATTTTCATATATATATATATATATATATATATATATATATATATATATATATATATATGTTTCTATATATATATATATATGTAGTAATTTATATATATATATATATATATATATATTCTGTATATATATTCATATATATATATATATATATATATATATATATATATGTGTATGTGTTTTTCATATATATATATATATATATATGTGATAATATTTTCATATATATATATATATATATATATATTTAGTATATTTTCATATATATATATATATGTAAGTATGTTTCATATATATATATATATAAGTAATATTTTTCATATATATATATATATATATGTTTTCATATACTTTATATATATATATATATGTATTTTATATATATATATATATATATATTTCATATATATATATGTAATCTATTTCATATATATATATGTAATTTTTCATATATATATATATATATATATATAATATTTTCATATATATATATGTAAATATTTTTTTCATATATATATATGTAATAATGTTTTTCATATATATATATATATATATATGTAGTTTTTTATATATATATATATGTAGTAATATTTTCATACCATATATATATATATATATATATATATATATATATTACATAATGTTTTTCATATATATATATATATATATAGTAATGTTTTCACATATATATATATATGTATATGTTTTTAATATTTTTTCATATATATATATATATATGTAATGTATTTTCATATATATATATATATGTAACGTTTTCATATATATATATATATATGTATAATGTTTTACTCAATATTTTCATATATATATATATATATATATATATATATATATAATAATGTTTTCATATATATATATATATATATATATATGTAATATGTTTTCATATATATATATATATATATATATATATATATATAAATATATAATGTTTTCATATATATATATATATATTTCATATATATATATATATATATATAATGTTTTTTATATATATATATATATATTTTCATATATATATATATATATATATATATATAATGTTTAATAATATATATATATATATATATATATATATATATATACATATATATATGTATATAATGTTTTATATATATATATAATATATATATATATGTATGTAGTAATGTTTATGGCTGTATATCACTGAAACACTGGTTCTCATATGATCACTGAAGCAACACTGAGCCTGGTCAGTACCTAGATGGGGGACCATTTGGGAATACCAGGTGCAGTAAGAATTGTTAATTGGCAAGCCAAGCTCCAATTCCACTTGGATTTGTCACATTGACTTACATGCAAAATACCCCTGGGTAAAGGAAGGAATCTACCACTTCTTCATCCAGTTGTGGGTTAATTAATAAGACTTTTATCACTAAAATTATTATTATCTCCAAAAACAAAAATGAATAATTCTTAAAATGTAAAAATTTTTTTTAGCTTTAAATATCCTGTAAAGAGTTGATAAGACATGAGAAATGAATCCTTCATGAATCATAATCAGATGAAAATCACAAACTATATTGGTTTATTATTTTGTTAATTGTATTAAACACATATATAGTTTTCATATATATATATATATATATATATATATATATATATAAAACAAATATATATATATATATATATATATATATATATATATATATATATATATATATATATATATATATGGTATATATATATATAAATATATATATATATATATATATATATATATATATATATATATATATATATATATATATATAAAAACATTATATATATATATATATATATATATGAAAATATATATATATATATATATAAAACATATATATATATATATATATGAAAACATTATATATATATATATATAAATATGATATATATATATGAAAAAATATATATATATATATATATATATATATATGAAAAATATATATATATATATATATATATATATATATGAAAACATATATATATATATATATATATATATATATATATATGAAATTATATATATATATATATATATATATATATATATATATATGAAAAACATTATATATATATATATATTTTTTATATATATATATATATGAAAACATTATATATATATATATATATTTTATATATATATATATATATGAAAAAACATATATATATATATATATATATATATATATATATTTATATATATATATATATATATATATATATATGTATGAATACATACACCTAAAGAATTTTGAAAAAGTTCTTGACACATTTTTCTTTTATGTGCCTTCAGGACATTAGCAATCATGAGTCTCCACATTTTCCTGTGCTTTGTAGCTTTTATTAAAGTTTGTCTTTTTGTTATCCCTGCTAAAGCCTGTTCTGATATCCATTTTATACAAGCTTATTTGATAGGGTATGCTCTGTTTTTCTCTATCCCTCTTGACTCTGAAATGTCCTGTGTGTGTCTAATTTTTCAAGCCCTCTTTCTTCATTATGCACCCTAAAAACGTCAACTGTCTCTTCCGTTAATGACCAAATATTAGGATACAAATTGGGAAGTGGGTCTAAGAAGTTATCAACATCCACTTGTTGTATATATATATATATATATATATATATATATATATTTATTCATGGAATATTTCAAGAAACCAGTCAATAATTTAAAATTATAAATAAAAGCTGTAGAGGAATGAAAGAGCGACAAAATCGCATAAAACACTACAGTAAGACTATTTTGGGTTAATTCAAAGAACATTGGTGGAAAAAAAAAAAAAATGGCGGAATTAATATAACAACTATATATATATATATATATATATATATATATATATATATATATATATATATTTCGTTTTTTCATTTCAACCTTTGGAAGTAAAGTCTGATGATCCAGAGCCCCTTTAAAAGGGCTGTGGTGAAATAATTTATTACATGGAACCTTAAAGTGGTCTGTTTTTATTCAAATATAATATATATATATATATATATATATATATATATATATATATATATATGCACACACATTATTTTTTTTCTCACCAGTAGTGTAACTCAGATTTTCATGTACAGTGTAATCTTCAGGTGCTGAATTGAGTTAACGGTCAGTCTCCTTCAGCACCTAAAGATTGCATTGTGCACGAAATTCTGAGTTGTGCTACCAGTGAGTGAGTGGCTGGAGAATGTATATTTATTAATAAATACTTAATATCTCTGTTATTGAGCACTATTTTATTAACAGCAATACTCAATGTGTGATATATATATATATATGTATTAATCCTTGCTTTGGATATTCTGCCAAACCTGGTCTGGTGCTCCTGTTATATATTCAGAGAATCTTGATAAAATCCCAAAAAGAATCTGCAATGTTATTGGTCCTAATCTGGCATCTCAGTTTCAGTCATGTGCATTTTCTATAAATACTTTCATCATAATTGTTCAGGTGAACTTTCCTCTCTGGTATCTAAACTTTATGAAATTCAGCACAGCACAAGACTGATGGTAAGGTCTCATCATTTTCTTGTCGAAGTGGATAGATGTAACTAAGTTCTATGCTAATACTTTCTTCTCTCACAATTTTCACCTGTAGCATTCTTTTCTGGCTTCTTGCTTCCCAGCCAACTTTGATCTTCAAAAATTTAAATGCAATCTCAATCATTATCTTCCACCGCCTTAATTCTTGGTCTTTTATAGTCTTCTCTCTTTAATAGTATGTTTCTCTCATATTTTCTAACACTCAGTAATCTCTTGCATCTTAGTGACTTTACTGCCTTCCTTGGGGGTGAAATGATTAATATATATATATATATATATATATATATATATATAACATAGAAGAAGCAGATTCATAATCAAAGCAAGATTAAAAAGGCTAGTATTAGAAAAGTGGATAAAATAAAGTAAGAATTTGTTCATTTTAAGATCCTTTCGTTATTTTTTTTTATTTTATATACTTTTCCATTTGCATTCCTTGACAGATAAAAAAAAAATTGCATTTCTCTTTATCATTTACTAAAATTATTTTCACTCGGGTTCTTTCATAATGAATGAATAGACTCCAAGTCCCCAAAGATAAAGTTTTTAAAATTCATCTTGTCTAGATTTTTAGAGGCAGATATTTCAAAGATATTCTGGAAATGTTTAAAAAAAAAATGTTGAGTACCAATCAATATATTTGTATATGACAATAAAATATTACCTTCAAGTAATGTCTTTTAAAACTGCATTGTGCTGTCATAGATCAACTGATCTTTTGTAGTCCTCATTGACTGAAAAGAACACTAATAATTGTCTAATGTGCTTCAGGACATCATATAGAAACTCTGGCACAATTGTGTTTTCTAAGAAAAATACTGTTGTGCTTGATGCTCGTAATCTGTGAAATAAGTCTTTTGTATTGTGAAAACTTCTTAACTCACTTTCAAAATATTAAGAAGGTGGGGATTCAAAAGTTTGATAATTTTCCTTAAAATTAAATTTTTTAAAAATTTAAAAAAAAAAAAAAGACCAAAACATCTATTCAGAACATCTTTACAATACGTTTCATCAAATTGTTTGGAACATGGCAGAAAGAAATACTGAGTCACATGTTCTTCTATGGCTTAAACATTTTATAGTGTAACTATGAAAATGTTCAATTCTTCTATTTGCTGTGTCCCTTCAGGACATTTACAATTATGGCTCTTCACAATTTCCTGTCCTTTGTAGTTCTTAATAAATTTAGTCTTTTTATCACTTGTAAACCTTATTACACCACCCACTTGCTCATGCTCACAAGGTAGGTCATGTATTGTTTTCATCTATTCTTCTTGCCTCCAAACTATCCTGTGAGTATCAAATTTTTTAAGCCCCCTTTCCTCATTATATGCCCTAGAATTTTGAACTCTCTCTTCCTGATGTCAATTGTAAGTGTCTTTTTGTTTCCATTTTCTGTAAAACTTTGTAGATGATCACATGTTTGGTCCAGTGTATTCTCAGCATCCTTCTGTAGAACCACATTTCTGTTGCTTCACATCTCTTCTTCATCTATGCAGAGATTGCTCAGCATTCACTGCCATATAAGAAGACTTATATTACGTAACAGTCCAGCACCCTTTTCTTGGTTTCTAATGAAATTTTCCTTTTCCTTAATATGTTGATTAGCTTTTGAAAGGCATCTTTCACTGTTCCAATGCACCTTTGGATATCAGCATTGCACTTTCTGTCCTCTGTTAAACACTTGCCAGATATTTAAATTGTTGTACTTGTTTGATTTTAGTATCTACAATTTGTAATTTGCATGTTGATCTGTTCCTTTTACTGAAAACTATGCATTCTTTCTTTCTTTCTTGCAATTGAAGTTTAGTCCTTTCTTCTGGCTTTCCTTCACTACCAGATAGAGGAGATGCTGTTTCCTTTCCTTTCAACACTGTGTCATCTGCATATCTTATGCTTTTGAGATTGTAGCTGCCAATTATGAATCCTGATAGACTTCCTATTCTCTTAGAATTGCCTCACTGTATTGGTTGAATAAATCTTTATATATATATACTTAATCTGTTTACTGGATTCCTTTTTATCTCTACAAATCAACCATTCACCCTTGCATGGAGTATTGCTGCCATATATGGTCTGGAGCCCCTTTTAATTGTCTCAAGGTCCTTGATAAAATCCAAAGAGAGATATGCAATGTAATTGGCACTGATCTGGCATCTCATCTGCAGCTGCTCTCTCACAAATGTGCTGTTGCCTCTCTCTGTCTTTTTTACAAATACTTTTGCAGTAACTGCTCTGATGAGCTGCTTTTGCTGGTTCCCAGACTTAATGAATTTAAGCGCTCAACTAGGCCGGCATCTTGCTCTCACCTTTTCACTGTCAAAACTGTTAAATGTAGCCATCTCTTCTACTCCAATAGCTTCATATCTCACACTTCTTGCCTGTGAAACTCCCTCCCCATTTCTTGTTTTCCTGATAACTATAATCTCCAATTATTCAAATGTAATATCAATCGACGTCTCCAGATGCCCTGATCTATCCCCTAACCGTCTCGTCATCCTTTCTTCTATCACTCCTCTTTGTTCTCGCTCCTACTCTAAAACCTTTTGCAGGCTTCCCACCTTGCTCAGGGTTGAATGCTTAAAAAAAAAAAATACAGGCTATTTGATGCCAGTTACAAGTTTGCCTTAGGAGGAATATATGAGGTGATGCCATTTTCTTTCATTCTAGATGATAGTATGTTTACTGCAATACTATTTTAATGCCATATCGATT